AATATTATTCAGCCATAAGAGGAAAACAAATCCTACCATTTGCAACAACATGGATGGAGCTAGAGGGTATTATGCTCAGTGAAATAAGCCAAGTGGAGAAACACAAGTTCCGAATGATTTCACTCATCTGTGAAGTATAAGATCAAAGAAAAACTGAAGGAACAAAACAGCAGCAGACACAGAACCCAAGAATGGACTAACAGTTACCAAAGGGAAAGGGACTGGGGAGGATAAGTGGGAAGGGAGGGATAACGGGGGAAAATGGGGGAGGCATTACTACTAGCAGACATAATGTAGTGGGGGCACCGGGAGGGCTGCACAACACAGGGAAGACAAGTAGTGATTTTATAGCATCTTACTATGCTGATGGACAGTGACTGTGATGGGGTATGTTGGGGGGGACTTGGTGATGGGGAGAGTCTAGTAACCATAATGTTGTTCATGTAATTGTAGATTAATGATACCAATAAAAAAAACAGTTAGGGCACTCAGTGCTGGAATTGTGGTGGTTGCTGTTAAAAAGCATACAGCAGGTCTCCTGAGTGGTCCCTCTCTTACCTCTGAGAGTCTAGACTGCATGAAGAACCTAAATGGGTTTGCTTTTCCAGTGGGGGCTGTTTTCGAAGCGTCCTTCACCAAAGGAATATACTGGAAAATGAGTAATGTACGCTAAAGAAACTAGGTGATCTGTAGCAGTATGATAGGTGTTATTAGTCACTACTCAAGGGTGTGTTCCTGAAGTCAACTTTTTAAAGCATTGCATCTGTACAGTGGTTGAACCACATTCTTTGCCCAGAGCAAATCTAACGTCAACCCCTCTAAAACTTTTGAATTACACTGGAGCCAAAGAAGAGTGGTGAATTTTTTTTTAAATAGTACTCTGGGGTGAGGTGGGGGGAGGGTTGTTATTTTTTATTACTGTAGTGAATAGCCCTACACATAGAAAAACATAATTTTAAATTGAACCTTTCTTGTCTGTTGTTTCAAAGAGGCCAAAACATGCTAAGAAAACAGGAGAAAATTAAGGAGTTTAACTCTCCCTGTTGATTATGGAGGAAGAGATATCCCTTTCTCAGATCATTTGTCTTAGAAAACTTGTAACTGTTGAGCACTTTCTCAACCTGGAAATACATATAAATCCTTTTGAAGACTAGTTAAATTTTCTGCCAGCTAGTGTGTTGTCAGCTTTACATCCCAGGAATGTCTTTCAAGGAGTTGGGAGCTCTTCAAAAAGTAAACATCAAGAGACATTGCACCCACGAGGAGAAACCATGGTGACTATATTTTTGATGGAATATTATTCAGCCATTATAAAAATGAAGCTGACATTTGGGCCAACATGGATGGATTTGGAGGGCACTATAGGGAACTACGTATTAAGACAAATGCCACATGATCTCATATATGTAGAATCTGAAAAAACAGAAAAACAAGCTCATAAGACAGAATAGATTGGTGCTTGCCAGAGAGGGGGGTGTAGTGCTGAGGTGTCAAAAGGCAAAATCTTCCACTTATAAAATAAGTCATAGGGATGTAATGCTTAGCATGGTAACTATAGTTAATAATACTGTACTGCATATTTGAAAGTTGCTAAGAGTATATCTTGAGTCCTCATCCCAAGTAAAGAAAAAAGAAATGTGTAACTATATATGATGATTGATTGATTGTGGTGATCATTTCACAATATATACAAATTCCACTCATTATGTCACATACATGAAACTAATATAATGTTATATCTCAATTATATCTCAAAGGAGAGATTGCACCCCTATCTCCCAGTTTCTGTGGAAGGATAGGAGCCTAACTTCAGTGAGCAAAGTGCTCCAAGTTGCAAAACTACCTTCTGTCATAAAGATGGGAGAAATTTGTTTTTCCTCTAGTTAAAGCTGATTAGCCAACACAGATTGTCACCCCAGTTACCAAATAAAGTTAAGATAATTTATGTGTGCAAACAGTGCTGACAAGGCCTTTTACTTGAGGACTAGTCACTGTTTTATCTTGAAAAGATACATTGTGGATTGTCTAGTTGGCTGTATAAAGGGTAAAATTTCTTTCTGTCTCTTCAGTGTCTTTGCTAATTACCAATAATGTGCATCAAATTCTGGTTAATGCTTATTCAATAATAAAAGTGTTCTATTTCTCCACTACATTTGTAGAAAGAACTTCTGGGTTGGGAGAAGATTTTGTTAATTCTATTTTCCCATCAATACCTCTACCCAAAATATTGAATCTTGAAAGTTAAGGGAACTAATTCCTCTTTAGTTTTTAATTTTTTCTCAGAAATGATCTCACATTAGATGATACCTTATCTCTGAACTACAAATATATTTTAATATAGTCAAAAATGATAATAAAGTCAGTGTTTCATATATATTTTGTACTGACTGTTAATTGCACAAAGTAAGCCTATGTGAATAAACCTCTTAAAGGAAAAATTCATTTTCTGTGCATATTAAATGTTGGGGCATGTCAATGAATGAAATCAATGAATTCTTGTGCATTAAATGGCTAGATAAAGCCAAAACACAACTTCACCAAGGCATATCTTTTCCAAGATACTTAGGACTTCTCTACCTTTATACAAAGGGAATCTAAATCAAAAGATATGGTTAGTGAGTTAGTTATTAGGTATTTGCAGAAAGAAGCTTTAAATAAAGGTCTGATGATAAAAATAGAACTGTTTGACATGTGTGTGTGTGTGTGTGTGTGTGTGTGTGTGTGTGTGTGTGTGCGCTTTAAGGAACTCAGATATCTGGAATCAGTAAAAATCTTCCGGATGTTCAACAATTCTCTCAGTTCTCATCTATTCATTGAAGAAACTAAAAACTGCCTTCCATATGCCAAGCATTGTGCTAAGAAATCCAATTTTGAATGAATGTACTTGAAGTAAATGAATATGGCAAAAAAAACATCTATGCTGCATTTTTGAAACTGTAAAAAACAATTATAGCAAATCCAATTTAAAATTTTCCATCTGTTATCACTTTGCTTTGCAGCAAACTTAACACTTTGTTTTGCCTGATTTCAAATACACTGTGCAACTTACATCTTGTAAATGTAGAGAGAATATGGAAGAAAAAAAGAAAATAATTTTCTGTCTAGATGCTCAATGGACTTCATAAAATACTAGCCACCCCCATAGGGCTTGGAAAGTTTATGTATCTCAGTTGAAGTTGTTAGCACAGGATTTAAGAGATTCATCTTGTGTCATTCAAATTTAGATCTATACCAGGTACTATTATGACTTTTCAAATGCTACAGGACTGCCTAGCTGTAAATAAATAAGTCCTTAATATATATTCTATTTTCCCAAATACCAATTTTTGTCTGTTTTAATAACATTACTTACCTGGATGAATGAATACAATAATGTG